AATTGTTCTTAATATTATTTATATTATTCTTTAATTTTTTTGTTAAAAAAATACAAAAAAACTAAAAAATGATAGAAAAATATAATAATAACCTCTATATTTTTATAGAATGAAATTTAAAATATTAAAAAAAATATAATGTAATATATAAAAAAAGTTAATTTAAATGAATAAATAATATGAAATACATAATAATAAAAAATTTAATATTAATAAAAATAATAAAATTTAAAAAAAAAAAATATATAAATAAAGTATTAATAATCTTTTTTAAATATAAATACTTTTTGAATTTTAGTAAAATATAAAAAGAAAAACTCATTTAAATGAGAAATCAAAAAGAATAATCAATGTAATCAATTTCTCCGAGATAAAATGAAAAAGATTATTTAAAAAATAAAGAATTATTAGAAAATTCATTTCGAAATAAAAACTAGTAGAAATCTAAAGAAAATTTAAGCCCAAATAATTAAGGAAATAACGATAACTAAAATCCTCAATTTTTTATTAATCAAAATAATTAATAGTAATTATATATAAATGCCTTAACCAATTCTCCTAAAATAATTCAATAAATTAATTATTAATTTGTACTTTAGAAAAATTAAAAAAATAGTTTTTAATAATAGGAAGATAATTAAACATAAAAATACAACAAATATCACAAATCAAAAACCTCCGACGACTAATAGTTCAAATAAAAATAAAAATTTGCATGCACTAAAAATTTATCTTAAAATGAAATTCAATTACAATAAGAAGCTAATTTGGAATGTAAATCAAATAATAATAAATAGGAAAATGTAAATGTAGAAAAAAATGTTTCTATAGGTTTCAAAGGATTATGGAAGTAAAAATAGTTCTTAATTTTAGTACATGTACGTAGATTTATAATTAAAATGCTTAACTTATCACTTATGAGAAGATTTAATAGTTTAAATTAACATTAATATGAAGTTATAAATGATTCATCTGCTTTTTGGTATGTTTATAAAGACAAAAAATATACTTAGAGCTCTTTAAATGTATTAAATTGTTATTTTAAAATCAAAATTGCAATAAGAAAGTTAAGATTTTTTATTTTAATTTTGAATTTTATTCAAAATTATATAAAAGAGATATAACCAGACTCTTAATTAAAATTAAATTGGAATATATTCCTTATACTAGCCATTTTATGGCTTTAATTTTTTATACCTATATATATGACGTTTGAAGAGTATTTTCGTTAAAATAAATATAAATATATATATATAAATATATATATAAATATAAATATATTAATATATTACATATATATATATACATATACATACATATATATAAATTTTTCTTCATATATATATATCTTATAATATTATTTATAATTTATATATTTTTTTAAAAAATAAGTTTTTAATAATATTCATATAATTAATTTGATTTTACTGTAATGGAATTACCAAAATATTTATTTTTATTAGATATATTAATGAAATTTAATACTGCTTATTATAAAAAAGGATTAATAGTGACTAGTCGAGTCAAAATTTCGATTAATTATATAAAGTAACAATTATGGTTGGATATTATTATCTAGATATTATTTCTTATTATGGACTTATCTAATTAAAAGATACTTCTTACACTCACCATTTGTTTATTATAAAAAATAATTTAAATTATTGGCGAATTTGAGGATGTTGTTAATTTTCCAAAAAAACAATAATCAATTTATTAATTAATTAAATTAGGACTTATAGTCCTTTTTACAGCACATTTTTGTGGATGTACTTTTTATTATGTAGCATATATTAGTAGAAATAGTTATTCACATAATAATTGGATTGATAGTAATAACTTTGAAAATACTCTTTTTATGGAAAAATATATTACTTCATTATATTGGGCTGTTATTACTATGCTTACTGTTGGTTATGGAGATTTAAGGCCTTATAATTAAATTGAGAAGTTAGTGGTTATTTTTATAACTATTTTTTCATGTGGGATTTATGCTTATGCACTTAATAGAATCGGGGCTTTGGTTTAGGAATTTTCTTTATAAGATAATGAGTTTAAATAGAATTTTTCTTCTCTTTCTCTATATATGAAAAAAAGAAATTTAAATATATAAACATAAATAAAAGTATGCATATATATATATAAATATATATAATATATATAAATTTATATATATATATATATATATATATATATATATTTCAAAATATATGTTTTTTAGGTTAGAAGATATTTTTAATATTTACATTGGGAAAAACTTAATTATTCAGAACATGGTTAACAAATGTTAAATTAATTAAATCTATCATTAAGAAAGGAAGTTTTGACAGAAATAAACTTCTAATTACTAAAATAATATAAAACTTTATCATTAAACTTTTCAATTGATTTTTTAAAATAGATAGCGCCATTAATGAAAGAAAAGACATACAGATAGGATGATGTTGTATGGAAATCAAGCGATTTATAAAATACTAATAGTATATTTTTCATAATAAGAGGATAAATTAGATAATAGTTAAATAATAAAATCATACTTAATTATATCGAGGAAGGCGAGTTTTTTAATGAAAAATGTTTCATAACTGAATAAACGGAAGAAATTTAATTCATATCTACATGCATTACTACAATAATAAATTTATAAAAAGAAGATTTTTTGTAAGCAATTAGATTTTTTCCGAATGATTTTGAGATTTATTCTAAAATAAAAGACTAAGCTAAAAATTATGAAAAAAATTCGATTTTAGACTCAAAATGTGAGACTTGTGTTTTATTTACGCATTCTTATAATAAATGTCCTTCTGTAAATTTGTAAATTAATAAAGAAAAAATACTATATAATCTAAATAAAAGTGAAGAACAGAAAAGAAATTTTCAAATAAGAAAAAGTTTAAACAATTTTATTTATTCGAAATCTTCTTTAAATATATAAGAGTATAATTCTTCTAAATTTAATAGTCTTAAAAATAAGAATAAAATATTAGACTCGATTATCAAATATATACTAGAATTTAACCCTTTTAATCTCGATTTAGAAGACTCGGAAATCATAGCGAATATTTTAAGTGAGTATAATTTCAATTAGTAGTTAATAAGTATGGATTCGATAGGTGATAGTGGAGAATGTGTACAGTAAACGTAAATGTTTTAGGCAAAAAATAGTCAGTTATATTTAAATAATTTAGAAAATGAGAAATATGGAAATTAATTAAATAATTAAAATGATAAATAATAAAAGATAAGTATTTTTGGTAATGATAATTAAAATTAAAATTATAAATAAATTATAGCATTAAAAGTAAGTTAATCACCATAAAATCTAAATACTCAAAGCAATTAAAATAAAACATTAAATAAATAAGTAAAATCAAACTTTAGTGAATATATTAACAATTAACATTAAAGGAAGAGTATTGATATAAGATAAAAAAATTATAGTTAGTATAAATAATAAAAAAATATTGCAATAAATAATAATAATAATAATATAAATAATGCTATTAATATTAATAATAATAATAATAATAATAATAATCATACTAATAATATTAATCATAGTAATAATAATAATATCAATAGTAGTTTTATTAATAAAAATATTAGGGTTGAAGATATTTTTATATCCAACTCTATTAATAATTTTAGTAGAAATTTAAGTAACTCTAAATCTAATAATAAAAATAATCCTTATATTATTAATAGTTCATCTGTTGAAATTAACTACTAAGAAGATCGTGATAAATACTTTACTAAAGAGCCTAATAATAATTTTAATTAGTAAGTATGCTTCAGTAATGCACCCGATTTGGATAAAAATGCATGCTTTTAAGTATATTTTCCATATAATAATATTGATTAAGTTTTTATTTAATACAATAAAATTCTTAATAATATTATTAAAAACTAGAAAAAAAATAAATAAGACTAAAAAAATATTAAGCTTGAGAGGCTTTTATTTAATATGAATAGTAAAAGGAGTATTAAAAAAAAAAAAGTGTAAAAAATAGTTTTAAATAATGCAGTAATTCAAGTATCACGCATAAAATTATTAATAATTAAAAATAAACCTAATTAAATTTAGATTTTTTAAATTGAGATAATATAATTTAAATCAGTATTAATTCACTTAATTTATAATAAACTCAATAATGACTTATGTATTTTTAGTTTGTTTATTTCTTTATTTTATTTGATAAAAAATAATATATTTAAAAATAAAGATTTTATTTTATATTTTTTATAATATATAATTTATTGTAAAAAAATAATAAAAAAATAATTGTTTAAAATATAAATATATATTATTATTATAAATTATATTTTTTTTTTTTTATAATACATAATACCTAATATTATATATATATATATATATATATATATATTATATATATATATATATATATTTGATATTATTTAATAAAATTATGTTTAATCTATATTTTTATAGTCTTTTATATTTTTCTTTTTAATTAATTTATTTTAAAGGATATTTAAGTCAATTAATTTTTTTATTAAAGCCTAAATTATGAAATTAAATTATTTATGTTTGTCTTTTTTAAAAAAAGATATATCTAAATTATTAAGAAAAAAAACTATTTTTTTTTATTTAAATTAAAAAATAAAGTAATATCTAATTTTTTAAACATTTTAAAATGTTTATTTTAATAATAATATATAATCTATCGGCTTTAATTATAAATTTTAAAAAAATATATATATAAATCTAATTTTAATAAAATAATATAAATTTATTTTTATGAAAAACATAAACATATAATTAAAAAAAATGTTTAGCTTAAGTTAATATAAAGCTAAATATTTAAAAATTAATTATAAATTGAAATATTTATTTAAACATAAAAAAAATATATTCATTTTATTTTTTAAAAAATATTAAAATAAAATAATAAATATATTAAAAAAACATTAAATAATAAATAATTAAAATAATAATAAATACCTTATTTAGTATAAATAAACAAAAAATTAATTAAATATCAACTTAAATACCAATCATCTGTAACACCTTGAAATTATTCTATAATATCGATATCTTATTTATAAACTTCGACTATTTTTTCAAATAAATTTTAGTTTTCTTCAACTACTTAAGTTAAATTATCGCCATCAATATCTTCCTATTAATATCCCCATTTTTAAAAAAATTAATCAATACCTTATTAAGTAGGTTCTACATGTAATGGTGTAAGCAAAACAACAACTAGAGTAGTATAGAGTTTTTTAAAAACCAAATAATCTGCAGCATTAACTAATTCTGCTAAATTTTTTGACATTTTAGAAATTTAATTTTTATCTTCTTCTAAAACAAGTTTATCTTTTAAAAAATCAAATGATTTATCAGAAATATGATTTTTAATATTTGTTGATTATAAAGGAAGTTAAAAAGTCATAGAATTTTCATCCCAATTATGCAATTCGCAAAATTTTTTTACTTCAATAAGTATTTATTAAGATAATGGAGTATTTATTTCTTAAGTGCGATCTGCAGCATTTTAAACAAATAAAGATAAGTTTACAAATTTATTATCAAATTCTACTAATTTATTATCACTTGAAAGTAGTTTTATTGTTTCAATATCCATATTATATCTAATATTTTTTTTTTATTTTTTTTAAGAAATTTTTTATATTTACTTATTTATAACTTTTATATTAATTATATATTACTTTATTTTATATTTTTAATATTATAATTATTGTTAAATTATTATTAAAATTATTATTATTATTATTATTATTATTATTATTATTATTATTATTATTTTTTAAATATTTTTATTAACTATTTTTTAATATTTTTTTTTTCAAATAATATTATAATTATTAGTTTTATTTTGTTATTAATATTATATTAATTATTATTATTAGTATTTTTTTTTTTATTAATTTTCTTATTTAATTTTTTTTTTATATTTTTATTTTATAATATGAAGAAAATATTAATTATATATTTTTTTTGTTATTTTTTAATTATATTAGTTTTTTTTTATAATAATTTTTAATATATTTAAACAATTTTATTTTTCATATAAATAATATTATTAGGTTTATTTAATACTTGTTTTTATTATAACATTTAATTTTATAATATAATAATTAAATAATAAGTAGATTTAATATTTTTTTTTTATTATAATAAAATAAAATATTAAAATAAATCATTTATTAACAATAAATCATAAATTTTAATAATTAATATTTTTTTTATTAATTTCATTTCATAATTATAATCAATTATATTTTAAAAATTAAAATTATATACAAGATTTTTATTTTTTATTCTTTACATAAAAATTTTAAAGTAAATACTCAATAACTATATTTTATATTTATTAATATTAAAAATATTATAGTAATTATAAAAGAAAATTATATAAAATTTCTAATATAAAAGAATATTAAAATAAATTTTTTTTTAAATTAAAATTTATAATTATAATATTTTTTTATTTGAAAAAATATAAACTTTTCAAATTACTAAATAATAATTTATTATTATACTATCGTCAAAAATAAATCATCTTATATAAAAATTCTTGTATATTTTAGGTTATAATTACGATATATAAAAGACCTAAAATCTATAATAATATCTAAAAATCTTACCAAACATAATCAATAATTTAGTTTGAAATTAAAATAAATAAACATTATTTTTATGTATTATTTATGAGTTATTAAATAAATTTGTATTAATATTTAGCCTTTTAAGCCTTTTAATAATTATAAATATCATTTCTTCCACGAAATTATGATTTTTTAAGCGGATTCGGTTTAGGTTTTATAATAATTATTTTTTTATTGGAATTTTCTTATATTATGGATTATCTACTTTATTTAAAGCAATAATTTTATTATGTTATGGTTATTCTAATATATTTGATACAATGGATGCTCATGTTTATAATAAATTAATTTATCAAGAATTATGTTTATTTTTTGTATAAAATATACTTATTTTTAAAAATTAATTGTATATAAAAATATGCGTATTTAAATATTTTTTTAAATAAATACTTATATTTTTCTAAAAACAGTTTTTATGAGAAATCGATTAGTCCTATTATATTTCTTAAATACCATCTTTTTTTTTATTTATATATAACATTTAAATAATTTCCTAATGCATAAAGAATTCGTATTTCTAAATATATATTACGGCTTTAAATATGATGTCTTATTGTTTATCCTATATGTATGGCTTTATTTTATCTGCTTTTCAATTATTATAAATTAAAATTTTATATACTTATAAATATTTTAAGGAATTTTTTTTTTATAATATTTTATAATATAAAAAAAGAAAAAATAATAATAAAATAATAAAATTTCAAATATGTAAAAATTAACATTTAAATATATAATAAAATAAAATTCATAGTTTTTTTAAACTTAAAAAATATTTCTTTTTTATTTTTAAAAATTAATTATTCTTTACAAATAAAATATCAATGATGATGATGATTGTGATGATGTCCAAATATATTTTCTAAAATTCCTCCATGATGATGATGATTTTTATGATTTCCAAGGTGTCCATGATGAGGAAAATCGTGATGATGAGAATCAACATATACAAAAGGGGGATTTTAATAAATCGGTTATGGAGTATAATAAAAAGGTTAAGAAGACATTTATTAGTAAGGAAACTATGGATTTTATTAAGCAGAATACTAGAAGTTAGTATATTGTTATTAAGGTTGTTATTAATAAAATTATTATTAATATGACTATTATAATTAAGATTATTATTATTAGTAAGGTATCTATTAATTTGGAAATTATTAATTCGGGTAATATTAATTTAGGAAATATTAATTTGGATATTATTGATTTGAGTATTATTAGTTTGGGTATTATTAATTTGGGTATTATTAGTTTGGACAATATTATTATTAATTCATTTTTTTTATTATATAATATTGCAATACTTTAATTTTTTTAAAAAATTAAATATAAAATAAAATAATTATTTAATTTCAAAATAATATATAATAAAAAAAAAAAAATATTTAATTTTATATTTTATTTGATAATATAAAATATTTAATTAAAATAAAAAGCCGTATTAAATAAAAATATAAAAAATATAAGTTAAAAATTTCTAAGAAAAATAATATAATAAAAAAAAATAATATAAAAAAATAAATTTAATAATTAGTTAGGTAAAAAAATATTTAAAATTAACATTTGTTTTAAAAAGTTTTAAAAATATCTATATAATAAATATATATATAAATATAAATATTGTATAATTTATTTTAATATTTATATATATAATATTAAATATTATATTGTAATTATTATATATTAATATATTAAATAATATAAATAATTATATATATATATATTAAATATATATATATATATAAATATATATATATTTATATATATATCATATTATATATATATTTTTATTGATATCATTTATAAATTTAATTTAATTTTTTTTTATAATAATTTAATAAAAAAAAGGAAAAATATAATAAAAGCAATATATAAATTTTTTTATTTAAAATATTTCATGTAAAATGCATAATTATTGCGAATTAAATCAGAAATTTAATAATTAGAAAAGTTAATATAAGATAAAAAATTTCCATAAAATATAACTTATTAATTAAAAAAAATGAATTCGGACTTCCAGATTATTTTAATTGGGAAATTACTATAAAAGGTAGAACAGGAACAATATGGGAAGATTATTAAAATATAAAAGGAACTTTAACATTTCCTTTAGAATATCCTTTAAAACCTCCTAAATTTACTTTCGAATAAAAATTTAAGCATATACATGTATATAAAGATGGATAAATTTGTTTATCTTTACTTTCTGATAATTTTTGGGAGTTTAGATCATCAGTATATAACATTTTTTTGTAAATAGAAGAATTGATTCATAAAGAACCTAATTTAGCCTCTCCGGCAAATATAGAAATGTGCTAAATGTATTAACTTGATAAAAAACAATATGATGATTTTATAAAAAATAATTATAATTGAGCTATATTTTTATTAAAAAAAAAAAAAAAAAAATTTATAAAAAAAAAAAAAATAAGTATAAAAATATATAAAATATAAAATTAATAAAAAAAAATGGAAAAATAATTAAATACAGAATTATTAAATATATAAGAAAAGCTTCATTAAAAACCTGATTATATTTAAATAAATTAATTATTTTAATAATTTATAAAAAAAATACAAAAGATATTAGTTTAAAATGATTATGATTTAATTTATTTAATTGGAAAAGTATATTAATTATAAGAAACAACCTTTTTTAATAATCAACCTGAACATATATAAATATTTAGTAGTATTATTTACATATAAACAATATGCAAATTAGGAGAAAGCCAAGTTTTTTTTGAAAAAAAGAGCATTTTCTCATAATTAATAAAGATTTTTATTGGATAAAAAATACATAAAATATTATAAGAAGAAGGAAAAGACTTAAAAAGATGTTTTTTTATTTTAAGTTTTTTAAATATTTTATTTCCTTATTGGAGAAAAACAAGAGATTTAATACCAGAAATATATAGATGTATATAATATTTGTTAGAATTTTTAGAAGAGAAAATGTTTTATTTTGAAAAAGAAGAGAATTATAAAGAAATTTAATTTGAAATATTTTTAGAAAAAATATTAAAAAATGATGAAGTTTAAAAATGGGATAAAAACGAGATTTTGAATATGGGAATTTTCATATTAAATTTAATTTAAAGTTCTTTAAAAATAACTAATATGGAAACTAATTTTGACTTTTTTTATGAAAATATTAAATTTTAGTTGGAAAAAATAAATTCTAAAGAAGAAAAAATCAATCTAAAAATTAAATAATTAATAGATAGAATAGACGAAATGATAGAAAATTTTAAATGGAAAAATAATTTGGATATTCTTATAGAAAAACCTTTGATAAAAATTAAATAATTAGATCCTAAAATAATTGAAAAAGGAAAAGAATTAAATTAATATATTGAAAAATCTAAACTTAAGAAAAAAATTAGAAAAAGCGAAAAAAGAATAATTAAAGATATAAAAAGTGATTAAGCAGTTTATGATAAGAAGAAGCTTGATGATAATAAAGTTTAATAAGAATAGAAAAAAGCAGCTAGAAAAATATTTAATTAAATTATGGATGAATAGGCTAAAGAAGTTAAAAGAATTAAAACAACTCAAATTAATTTTAAAAGAAATAAAAAGAAAGGTAGAAGAATGGCAGGAAATAGAGTTTCAGATTGATTATTTTTTATAAAAATTATAGTATATTATTATATATATATATATATATATATATATATATATATATATATTATTTTTTTAAAAAAATTAGTTTTTATTTAATAATATTTTTTATTTTTCTCAAAATATAAATTAAATTATAACAGATTGGAATAAAAATTTAAAGATAATAAAATAAAAAAATTTAGAATTTAAATAAATAATTTAAATTTATAAAATAATTTATTATAGATATAAATATAAGGAAAAAAACAATATATATATATATATTTATATTTCACTAAAAAATATTTTATTATTTTCTTAATTATTTAATTGTTTATATTATAATAATAAAAAAAAAAAACATAAACTTATATTAAAATAAAAAATAATATATGAATTTTTATTAAATATTATATAATATATTTTTTTATTAAATTATTAATTTATTTAATTAAAATATTATATTTATATATATAATTATATATATATATATATATATATATTTATTGTTTCATAAACTTTATTAATTATATTTTTTAAGAAAGCTTTTTTAAATTTAAAATAAATATTAAATCCACTTAGAAGAATATTATAGGTTATAATTAATAATGATTAATAAATTATTAATCTTTAATATAATAAAAAAAAATATATTAAATATATATTTATATAATTTAGTTTTTTATATCTTTTTTAAATAAATAAATAAATGCAAAATTATTTTACATATAATTAATGATATATTTATAAAATTTAATTTTTTTCAATACATTCTATTTTTATTTAAACAAAATATATTATTTTTGAAGTATTATATTTATTTTTTCCTTTTAATATCAACAATATATACAATAAATTTCAATTAATTTGAAAATACAATTAAAAAGAAATACTTAAATACAACAAATATGAAAAAAAAGAAAATTAGCCAAATTAAAATATAATGTACAAATAATAAGATTTTTTTTAAATATAAATTATTGATATTAGTATTGTTTTAAAAAAATTAATATAAAAATTTATTAATAAAAAAATCTTATGCAATAATGAATTCATAGCTTTTAATAATTTAAGTAACATAAAATATATATTAAATTATAAGAAGAAGATAAAAAAATAAATATTCAAAACTAAAAGAAAATTGAAAAAAATAAAATGATATCTAATAAAAAGTTAATTTTATAATACATATTATGTATAGAAGTATATATTAGTAAAAAAATAATATTAAACATAAGTAGTTAAATATAATGTATACTTATAAAAAAAATTAAATTAGTTTAATTTATAAAATAAAATAATATATAATATTATAAAAATAGAAAAATATATAAATTAAAATACTAAATGTAAATAAAAAATGTAAATTAAATAAAATAAAAAACTATAAAAAAATATTAGTTATAAATTAATCATTATTTTATCTTATAAATATATAAATATTGTTTACATTTTAAATTATTATTATTATTATTATTATTATTATTATTATTATTATTATTATTATTATTTTAATTATTATTTTTATTATTATTTTTATATTTTTTTTTATTATTATTATAATTATTAAAATTTATTAATATATATTTTTTATAATTAAATACAATTATTAATATATATATATAAACAATTATTGTGAATTTAATTAAAGAATAAAAAAAAAAATTATTTATATTTAAATTAATTTTATTTATTTATATATATATATATTTATATATTTTTAATAAATATTATATTTCTTTATTTATGTTATTTAAAATAAATGTATTCTATTATCTAAAAATTAATAAAAATACATATTTTATAAATTTTTTTTTAAATTATATTTTTATATCAAAAATTTTAATTAATTTTATATTTTATTAAAAATATTTTTTTATCTTTTTATTTTTAATTTTCAAAAAAAAGAAAATCCTTTCTTTTATTATTATTATATTTATGCTTTATATAATTATGTTAGTTCATTTTTTAGTTAATCATTTAATTTTAACAAATTTAAAATAACAAAGAAATATTATTAAGCTTCTTATAATTGATTTTTACTTTTTTTTTTTTTTTTAAAGATAAAAATCATATTAAATCTTTTTTTTTATAATTACTTTTTATTAAAAAGTATTCTTGTATAATACACGAAATTATCTTTAAGTGAATTAAAAATATTTAAATATCCTTATTCTTCTTGTTATTATTTTTCATAATCAATTATTTTTTTCTTTAATAGACTTATCTTTAATATAATATTTTGATAAAAATTTATTTTAATTAATATAATAAAAAATACTTGTTTTTAGAAATTTTCTTCTATATCTTCATGTTCTTCTATTTCTCTATTTAATTATTCAATATTTTTTTTTTATTAATCCATTTCTTATTTCATTAAACTTATTTCTGCTGGATTTAGAGTTGGATTAACTTATGTAGATATATATTTTTTTAAACTATCATTTTCAAATTTGAGCTCATTAATTAAATTAATACTTTATTTTAATTTCTAAAAATAATATAAATATAATTAAATAAACATATATATTTTAATAAATATTTACTTAATTAAGTTATTATATATGAAGATTATTTTTATCTTTATTAATATGAAAAACTTCCTCATTTTTTTAATAATCTTAATGAAATAAATAATCATCAACAATTTCTTCTGAAAAAAAGCCGTAATTATCTTTAATAATATTAATTTTATTTTAATTTTGATGAACTTCTTCTTTTTTTTCGATTATAGATGATAAATTTAAAGAGTTTTTATCGTCATCCTCATCTTTTAAAATTTCATTTAAAATTTCGTCATATTTTATTAAAATTTCATTTATTTTTTGTTTTTATTATTATATTTTTTTTATAAAGGCAATTATTTTTTCGTTTCTTTCGATTATTTTTCCACTTTTAATTATTATGTCTATAATTTTTGCTTTCAAATTTTCTTCGTTTTCTTCATTATGGTTTTTCTCTTCATTTTTTTCTTAAATTTTTCTTATTTTTTCAACCAATTCTTTTAAAGAGTATTCCATTTATGTTTTTTCTTATTATAATAAATCTATTTATTTTTCATATTTTATTTAGGTATTTTATATTTGGATTTCATATTTTTCCTTTTGTTCTGAATTTATTAAATCCTTATTTTATAAATTTTCTTTCATTGTTTTATATTGGCTTTAATAAACTCTTTAACATTCTAAAATTAAAAGAAAAATTTTTGATATTAAAAATTATTTTTCTTAATCAAAAATAAGTTTTTAAGAATTATTTTCTTATTATATTTTATTTTCTAAAAAGGAGTTTTTTTATTCTAATAATTATATTTTTGATAAAAACTCATTATTTTAGGATTCTATATTTTTATTTATTAATTAATTTAATTCAATTATTATTTTATTTTATTCTTCTTATTTTTTAATTAATTATATATTTTCTTCTTCATGAAGTTAGCTTTTTTAAAATTAGAGTTTATATTGTTCTTATATATTATTTAGTTATTATATTAGATCCTGTTTTTGTTTTTCTATTTCTTGTTTTTATTTTTATATTTGATTGATTATTTGTTCTTAATCATTTTTTATTTTTCTGTTTGTTCTTTTCATTTTCTTTTCTTATATTAAATTATTTATATATTTTTATAAATTGTTTTTTTCATTTTCATATTTATCATTGTTTTATTAAATTAAATTATTTATTTGTTATTCTTAGTCTTTATTTTTTTATTACAGATCTTAATTTTTTAATTCTAATTATTATATTTATTATGTTAAATTTTAATTAAGTAATTCTATCTGATGTATATTTTATTCCATATTCTTATTTTTTATTAATAAAGAATTATTTTTTTGTTCAGAATCATTATTTTATTATTCTAAAGTATTTAATTTTTATTCTAATTCATTATTATTTTAATACTAATTTATTTATTACTCTAAATCATTTTTTTATTTTTCTAAAAGACTATTTTTTTATATTAAATTTTATTATTCTATATCATATATTTTTTATTATTTTATTATTTAATCTTGATTTAAATTTTAATTTTTTTCAAGTTTTATTTTTTCAAAAGAAATTCTTTAATTTTCCAAAAATAAAATTAGGGTCGTTTCTAGATAAAAATTAAGACAATTTTTATTATTTTTTTGAGAATTTTAAATGGAAATTAATTATTAATTTAATATATTTATAAAATTTTCTTTTCTTTCGATTTCTTCTAATTAATTTTGATTTTATTTTGAATGTTTTTTATTTATTTCTTTTATTTTTTATATTTTTTATGAATATTTTTTCAAAAGAATGTCTTATTTTTCTAATTCATTTAATGTCTTATTTAATTTAATTAATAAATCTTTTATAATAGATTGTTTTTCTTATAAAATTTATTTGTTTTTTTCTTCGTTTTCATTTATTTTTAAATTTTAATTAGATATAAAAGTTACTTATTCCTAAAACTTTTTATTTAATTCTTTAAGTTCTTCTTTTAAGTTATTTATTTCTTATTTTGAATTATATAATTCCTATTATTTTTCCTTTATATTTATTTCAGACATATTTAATTTATGATTTTTCTCATTTATTTAATTAAATTATTCTTATATTTAATTTTCTAAATCATTTATTTTTTAAATAAATGAATTTTTTTGTTTTTAATTTTCTTGAATTTATATAATATTTTCGTTTTTTAAATTTTCAGTTATTTTTTTAAAATTTTCATTGTTATTTTCTTCTTCATTTTATATATTTTCATTAATTTTTTATATATTTTATTATTAATTAATATTTTTGGTTTTTTCCTCTTTTAGTTCTTATTTTAAAATTTAAATAAGATTTTCTTTTTTTTATTCAAAAAGTTCTTTTTCTTTAATTAAATTTTTAAAAGAATAAATTTTTTATTAATTTTCTTATTCTTTTATTTCCAGATTTTATATTTTTTCTAAATTTTCATCAAATTGTTTTTGTAAATTTTTTAAATTTAAAGCCACATTTTCCTTTTCTTTTTATAAAGTCTAAATATGGAAATTTTGAATCTTATTTTCAGACTCTTTTTTTATTAAAAAATCATCCTTTTTATCCATTTCATCATTTTATTTTTTTATTTCATCTTTTTATTTCAATATTTCTTATTTTAAACTTTATATTTATTATAAAATTCTCTCCTTTTCTTCCTCAAAGTTTTACATTTTTTAATTTAATTAGTCAATTTCTTCTTCCTATTGTTAAATTTATCTCTCTTTTTCTAAATTTTCCTACTCTTTTTCATTTAATTTACTCAAATATTCATTTATGCATTTTTGATTTTCTTTAATTCTTATTTACGTTTCTTGGGCTTCTTTTTTGTTTTCATAATCATTTATTATTTTTAAAAACTCATTTTCTTTAATCAAAAAAGCTTCTTTTTCTTATTCAAAAACTTCTTCTTTTTTTTAAATAAAATCTTTTAATTAAAGGTTTTCTTCATTTTTTTCAAGTATAAGCTTTTCTTAATCATAAAATAACTTCTTAATTTCTTCTAAAGTATTGTTTTTTTCGATTACTTAATTTTATATATTTTAAATTTCATTTTTTAAATTATAATTCTCTTTTGTAAATATTTCTATTTCGTTTTCTTAAATAGATATTTAAGTCTAATTTTTTTATATATTTTATTATTTAATATTTAGTTCTTGTATAAGAAATTCTTTTTCTCTAAAAAGAAAAGTCTTTTCATTTAAAATTTAATTTTTTTCATTTTCGAGAATTTTTATTTCATTTAAAAGTTCTTTTTTTTCATTCTCAAAAATAATTATTTAATTTTAAAGTTATTAAAATTATTATTATAATTATTATTATTATTATTATTATTATTATTATTATTATTATTATTATTATTATTATTATTATTAATTCTATTAATTTGATTATTATTGTTATTATTATTATTATTACTATTTATATTACTATTCTGATTATTATTACATTTATGTTTAAATATATTTTAATTTATTTTCATAATTAATATTTTTATTTATAGTTTCTATATTCAACTTTTATATTTAATTTTCATATTCAAATTAATTATTTGTTTTTTTATATTATTATTTGTTTTAATAATTTTTAATTTATTCATTTAGTTATTAGTTTTCTTGATTTTTATTTTATATTTCAATATATAGTGAATCAATTTAATTTTCTAAATTTTTTTTAATTAAAAAAGTATTTCATTGAACTCATCCTCTTTTTTTTCAAGAATTTCTTTAATAAAATGACTTTAATTTTCTAAATTTTTCCTTTCTTCTTCTTCTAAAAATTATTTTTCAATTTCCTAGATTTCTTTTATCATTTTTTCATTCAATTCTTATTTTTCTTATGCGAATTCAAGTTTAATATTTTGAATTTTTTATTTTTGTTTTGAAATTTTTTCTTTACTTTTTTACAAAATTTCTTTATATTTTTAATTTTCAAATGTAATTTATTTTAATTAATATTAAATTTGTTTCATTTTTTAAGAAATTTTTTTATCATCATTTTAGTCTATTTAATTTTTTTCGTCTATTATTTTTTTGAAAATATTTTTTTCTTCATTTATTATTTCTATTTAATTTTAATATTCATTTTAAATATTTTATAAATTCATATTATTTTATTATTGTTCATCACATATATTTTATAAATAATTTATTTCTTTTTTAAAATTTTCATTTTCATTTTTAATAAATTAATTTTCTTCTTTTAAATTTAAATTTTCTTATTTTAAATTTTTATATTCATTTTCAATTTATTATTTTAAATTTTGATTTTCTTATTTTAAATTTTGATTTTCTTAATTTAAATTTTCATTTTTTTATTTATATATAATTTCTTTTTCTAAATTTTATTTTTTTCATCGTTTTTTTCTACTTATTATATATTTTTATTTTATGTAAAAAGTTAATTATTCATTTTCTCATTTTCTTCTTATTTGTATTTATTTTAATATTATTAAGGTTATTTTAAAAATTCTATTTCTTAAATTTATGTATAGATTTCATTTTCTTTTTCTGCTAATTATACTAATAATAATTTATTATTATCCATTAGTTGTTTTAAATTATAATTTAATTTTTAAATTTCTTATAAAAGCTTATTGTTTTAATTTATAAAGTTATCTTTTTATTATTCCATTTGTAAACAAATATTTATTTTTTCAGTTTTTAAGGCATGTATTTTTTAATTGAATTAATTTTCAATAAGTTGTATATTTTTTTCTTTTTCGAAAATTGTTTAATCTTTCATTTCTAATTCATTTTTTAATTTTTGAACTAATTCTTCCTAATTGATATTTTTTCTCTCACTTTAATTCTATATAAGGTTAATTTTTTATTTTAAATCTTCAATTATTTTATGTAAATTATTTAATTCTACTTCATATTATATATTTTCATCCCCAATTAACTACTTTTATTTTAAAGCATTTATTTATTATTGTTTTTTCTTACTTTTTATTTCAAGCCTCCTATATTAGTCTTCTAAATAAAGACAGTAATCGTAAAGCTTTTTATCTGAAATTTAATTATTATTATTATTTACATTTTCGTTATTGTTTTTAAATATTTTAATATCTTCTTCTTTCTTTTTTAATTCATTTTTTAATTTTTTATTTCGGTTTTACTTTAAGAATATTTCTCATTTAAAATTCTATTGTTATTCATTAATTTTTTCATTTTATCTTCATCGTTTTATTCTTATGTATTATTTACATTTTCTTATGTATTATATAATAATTTACCCTATGTATTATATATTCTTTCTTATGTATTATATAGTTTTTCTATACTTTTTTATATATTTCTTTATTACTAAATGAATTAATATTTATCTTCGGTTTTAAATTTCGGCTCTTAATCTTTTTAAAAAAACATTTCGTTCTTTCTATTTTATTTCTACTTTTCACTTTTTATATGTAAATTTTGCATTTTTAAATAATTCGCATTCTTTTCTGGCGATTATTTTCCTAGTCTTTATTATGGAGATAAAAATTTTGCTTTAGTATGTTAATTTTAAACTATCTTTTAATCGTTTATTTGCTTGTTTAAAGATTCATTCCATTAACATACTTTTTACATTATATTGTTAAGTTTTCCTTCACTATCTCTGTTCATATTTATTATTTTATAAATAAATTTTAATTTTTTTTTAAAATGATATTATTTTAATTTTAATTTTTTTTTTTGAAGTTATTTAATTTTATTATATTAATGATTAATAAATTATTAAGTATTAATTTAAAAAAAAAAAAATTTTTATATTTTTTTTATAATTATCTATAAGTTTATTTAAAATATTTGTTTACTTAAAATTATTAAAAAAATAAAATATAATATTAAATAAAATACAAATTAAAATAGCAAAATTTTATATAAATATAAATTATATATATATTATTTAAACCAATTAAAATATTATATATAATATTTTAATAATGTAAAACTTTATTTTTAATTTATATATTAAAGTTTAATTAATTAATGGGAATATAAATAATTTGAATTTATAAAAATATTATGCATAATATTATATTTATAGAATTTTATATTAATTATTATTTCAATGTTATATTATATTTTAATTCAAAAATAAAACTATTTTTTTTAATTTGTATTTATTAAATGTATTATATAAAAAATTATTTTTAAAAATAATATTACTATAATAAATATTATAAATTAGTTTTTTTTATTGTATAATTTTTTAAATATAAATATGATTATAAATTTTATTATTATTTAAATTTATAATAAATAAAATATATTTTAAATTAAATAATTAAATGATTAATTGATTTTTATTAAATATTATCTTAAAATAAATAATTAAATTATAGAAAATTAATGTTTTTTTTATATATAACTTTAATAAATTTATTATTAAAAATATTTATGTAAAATATCTATATATATATATAAATATTTATAAATATATATATATATATATACATATATTTTTTATTTTTTTTTTTCAAATATAATATTAAATTCTTATTTAGCATTTATTATAATTAATATATAATTTTTTAAATATAATAAAGAATAATCAAATTTTACTTAAGTAATGGTAAAATATAAAAATTAAACTTAAATTAAAATTATAAAGCTTTTTATTTTTCATTATTATTATAAAGGATTAATATGAACTGAGAGAAATAATAGGAAAAGGTTCATATGCAACTGTATATAAAGCGTAAAATAAAATCAAAAATAAAAATAAATTTCTATATATTAAAATCATCAAAAGTATAAATAAGTAAACAAATGAAATTTTGGCCATGAAAATTATAGAACTTGAAGTATTTTTTTTTTTTTATATTATATTCTTTATAAAATTTTATATATAATTAAATTTTATTTTTTTATCATTTTTTTTTTTTTAAATATTAAATAAAAATAAGATTTTCTTTACACATTTATTTTTATTAATTAAAAGGAAAACGAAAATATTTAAGATTTTATTTAAAAAGAAATTTTATTAGTATAAGAATGTTAAAATTAAAATATAACACAAATATACGAGTATTTTGTAGATAAAAATAAAATATTTATCGTAATGGAGTACTGTTCAAATGGATCAGTAGCTTAATTAGTACAAAAAAAAATTAAATTAAAATTATAAAATAATAATATAAAGATTAAAAAAAAGGATAATTATAAGAACCTTATATTGCAATTATATTAAAAGAAATACTTTAAGCTTTATATTATTTACATTTTAATCAAAAAATGCATCGTGATATAAAAGCAGCAAATATATTAATTCACAAAAACGGTACTATAAAATTATGTGATTTTGGAGTAAGTTCAAATACAACAAGTTCATTTTAAAAATTATAAACTTTCGTTGGGACCCCATATTATATGGCACCTGAAGTTATTTTAAATTAAGAATATGATTTTAAGGCTGATATATGGTCATTAGGTACATATTAAAATGTATATTATTTTTAATGCTTTTTTAAAAAAGTTAATATTTTATTTTTATTTTTTTATAAAATATATTCATAAATGAATGCAATTTTTTATAATAAAAAAGGAATAACAACTATTGAAATGGCTACTGGAAAGCCTCCTCATTATGACCAAAAACCTTAAGTAGCTATGAAAAAAATAATAAATGAAGAATCGCCTATTTTAGAAGGAAATTTATCAAAGCAAAATATAAATATAAATATATAAATATATATATATATAAATATATATATATATATATATTAATTTACAAAATTAAATAGATAATTAAAAAATTTTATTAGCTGTTGTTTAAAAAAATAACCAGAATAAAGGCATTCAGCTGAATAATTATTAAATCATAATTTCATAAAGTTAGCGAAAAAACCTTCTTATTTATTGGATTTGTTAGATATTGATATTTCTTAAAAAAAAGTACTTTAATGTTAAAAGGTTAATAAGTAAGGGCAAATTCAATGATGATCGGTAATAATGTATTAATAAATCGAAAATTAGGTGGAGGAAAGACTGCTGATACAGAATTTTTATTATAGAATAGTGGGAAACCTTTGACTTTGGAATAAAGAATAGAAGAATAAAAAGATTTATTGGAATTTTCGAATTATTTGAATAGTTAATAAAATGCTTCATGTAAAAATATGAACTAAATAGTAATTAAGATATAAAAGGGCAACAAATAAAAAGAAGAAAAGACAAAATAATAAATTTAAATTAAAAATAATAGTATGAATAATACCATAATTAGTATTAATAATGGAAATAATTCAAATAATAATACAGATTCAGATACTATAAAGAATTTCCTTCTCACAGATAGCGATTCTTCTTAAGATAATTGCAGTGGGCCACATCCACATCATCATTTTATTTAAAGTATTAATACAAATGAATAGGAAAAAAGAAAGATTTTAGAAGGTATCACATTTTGTTTGTTTGTTTTTATTTATTTTTTTTATTAGGAATGAGTAGAAATAATGTATTATTTAAAAGTGTAGTGGATAAAGTATTTGTATAATATATTAGTTATATAAAAAATAAAAAAAATTCCGAATATTTAAGCTAGGCTATTCAAAATCTAAAAAATTCTCTTGATGAAATGGAAAGAGAAGAATTTGGAAGTTGCAAAAAAATAATTTCTTTAATATATAAAACTATAAAAGATTATTAATATAAATGAGAAAAAAAATAAAAAAAATTAAATAATAAAAAAAAACAAAAAATTTAAATTTTTTAAAAAAAATAAAATAAAAAAATTATATAATAATTTTAATAGTCTAATAAATTAAAAATACAAAAATATATTTTATATATATATATAAATAGATATATATATATATATTTATATTTATATATTATTATATTTTATATTTTATTTATTGTGTTTATAAAATTATTTTTTAAACATTTTTTTATAAAAAGATATATTAAATTATTTTTTTTTATTTTTTTTAAAAAATATGTTTTTAGATTAATAGTTTTTTTTTTTTATTTTTTTTTTATTTTTATATATTATACTTATATATTTAAAATTAAATATATAATTTTGTATAAAATTAAAATAAAATAAAATTTTAAAAAATATATATATTATTTATATATATTAATAAACATAATTTTTATAAAAAATATTTAATTTTACTTTAATTTATCATTTTTAAAAATAAATAACCAATTTTTTCATTTTTTAAATATATACTAATAAATATCAAAAAATATTTTAATTTTTTATTTCTTATAAAATATTATTAGAGAAATAAAATTATTATCTATATAAAAATAATAATATATTTTATTTAATTTAATATATATATGTTTTTATATTTATAATATATTTTTAAAAAATAATGAATTATATGAAAAAAATAATTTTATTATTTTTATGTAATTTAGTAATATAGTAATATACAAAAGAAGTTAATCAAATGTTATTTTTATGAGTGAGATTAAAAAATTTAATATTTTGGTTCAAATACTTATGCCTATATATATAAATTAAAGTTCTTTATCCTATAAAACAGAAGAAAACAAGCAAACATAATTTTAATTTCAAAAAACTTATAATTAAATTTAAACAATAATAAGTAATATTAAAAAAAAAAAAATTAAAAAAAGAACTATAAATTAGATTCTTTAATTTGTATATAGTTTATTTTTTAAAAAAATATAATATATAAAAAAAAAAAAATTAAAAACATAAAATAATTATTAAATAAAATCATGTTTTAAAATATAATAATTATTATATTAAATTAATTAAATTTAAAAAATTACATAATAAAAAGAAATATAAAATATTATTTAGTTTAAATTAAAAAAAATATTAATTAAAAATATAAAGTAAAATATCTATAATAAAAAAAAAAATTATATATAAAAAAAATAACTTATTATGAAATTTAATATAAAATCATTTTATATATAATAATAATTTTTTTAAGTTTAAATAAAATGTATATATTTTTTATAATTATTAAAAAATTTAAAATAAAATAATAAATTATTTATAAATATATAAATATTTATTTAAAAATATTTTTTTTTATTAAATTTATAAACATAATAAAATTAGCCTTATAAATAAAATAAATAAA